CAATTAATTGAAATGGTCGTTCCCAAGCTTGTTCAAATTTTTAAAAATGATTGTTCATACCCGTTTTTCTAACTTGAATGTTTGTTTTTCTAACCACAGGGGTGGTGTCTGATTGATTTAAATTTGAGCTCTAAAGGTTAAAAGTGTCTGGAGGTCCCATGTTCGAATCTAAGAAGGAATAAAAAATCATTTATGGCCACAGATGTTTAAATGCGGTGACTTTGGGGGACCTGCAAAACGGGTGGTCGTTCTAGGATTAGTCGGCTCGTATAATGGGTTCGATATCCAGGTTCATCAAAAAAGAAATGTTTGTTTTTCTGTTTTTAAAGAGTCGATCAAAGTGAATTATATAAAATACAAGGACCAAGCATGTAATTTACTCAAAAAATTATAAGTTAAAAATACAGAGTAAATTACATGTTTCGTCTCTATGGTTAGATGTTTTAACGACTCTTGTCTCTTTTTTAATTCAACGAAATATGTTCATGTGGTGGCGTTTTTTTAAAAAGTTATATCAATGTTGTTGCATTTTTCTAATGAGTGAGTTCCCATGATTGCAATTTTTTTAATGAGTTTGATTCGTAAATAAATTAATATCTTGTGTCCCTATGGTTGTATTAAGAACCTAACTCGTTATAAAAATGTAACCATAAAAACACTATCCGTTGAGCTTTCAAAAAAAGACAAGAATCGTTAAAAACATATAACTACATGAACAAAACATATAATTTACTTCAAAATAGTGATAGCCAAACCGGCCCGGCTCGGGACTGCCGTAGAACCGGAACCGGGACCCGCCAAGGCCCGGGACCGGTAAGGACCGGAAACCGGGAGCGGTTCATGTTTTAGAGCGATTCATGGGACCGAGATCGACCGGGACCGAGACCGGTTATGGGACCGGCCTGGCCCGGTATTTTCAAAAAAACTAGTCGTTTATGGCCTTTAGGTGGCCCTTTTTTTGGATTTTTTTTTTGCCTTTTAAACACTATAAATAAGTGTCTTGGTTGAGGGGTTTACATACCAAGTTCTCAATTAGTAAAAAAAAGCAAAAGAACGTTCACAATTCTCGGTTCCTTCCTATATTTTGTGAATTCGACTCGTATTTATTTTCGTTTCCACTTCACAATTCTTATTTCTTTCTCTCTTTGTCTTACAAAATGGCAGGTGAACAACATGATGCATCAAATGAACAAGTTGCTCAAGTTCTCACCGAACACGGATGAAAGTTCGAGATTTGGAATTCATACAACTTGTCGGTCCTCACGAACGGAACGGGAAAAGAAAGACACAATGCAAAATGTGTCAAGCTCTCATTCGGCGGAAGAAAATTCTACTTTAAGGCGGCAAACCGAAAAGACGAGCCCGGGGTTGAGGTCGGGGGTTGATTCAAGCCAACCAATACTTGATACTCAAGATCAAATATTATCGTATGATGCCGAGTTGAACCGACAAATAACAACACAATCTGTCATTCAAGTAGGGTTGCCTTTCGGACATTTCGACAAACCTCACTTTACGAAGTTGATCTAAAAAACACTACAACCATGATACAAGTCGGTAAGTCGTCAAACCCTTAGACGTGATGCAATTAAATGTGGAAAATGTGTCGAGCTGAAATGCAACAAATGTTTTCTCTTTTGCCTAACAACATTTTTTTAACGTGTGATGTATGGAGCGCACCATATGGATTGTCGGTTTCTTATACATGCATAAAGGCAAATTGGATTAAGTCTTCATTGTGATATTTATTCAAACGTGTAATCGCGTTTGAATCGTTTGGTGCGCCACATCCAGATGCACGTCAATTTTCAATTATTAAAAAATTTCTTACATTTTATAATTTAACTACTAAAATAATTAAAATTCATTTGATAACGCTAGTAATAACAATCTATGTGTGGAAAAATTAAAGTGTCATTTGACACCTATTTTAAACGGTAAATTATTTCATACATGTTGTTGTGCACACATAATAAATTTAGCCGTTCAAGACGGTTTAAATACTTGTAAATCCGTAATAGATAAGTTTAGACTTATGTTGCCGCGAATTTTTACAAAGGGTAAGAAAATGAATGCGAAATATAGAAAATATTGTGAAGACGTTGGTTTCAAAGCTTTGGGATCGAGGTTCGATATGCCCGTTCGTTGGAATTCGACTTATTTTATGATTGAAAATTTGACAAAACAAAAAATTATATTTTTTTTTCATTTTATAGATACCATTATCCACAAAATTCTACTGGAATCTTGATTGGGTCGTGGTTGAAAGATTGTACGATATTTTAGGCGGTTTTAGATATGCGACAACAATTTTATCCGATATTTATTATCCAACAAGCCATTTAGTTTTAAACTGATTATATATTTTAACAAGTAAGATTGCCTGATACGAAGACCATCACGATTGGGGAAGGTTGATGAGTTCAATAAAAAAAATTGTAAAATATTTTATGAGCATCCTATTTGCTTTTCTTTGTGCTGGGACATTAAACTCGTATTTAAATGTTATCGGTGTTGAAGTTTTAATTACACAAATATGTGTGGCCTTTGGTTTAGATACGACTACGAATAATTCTATTTCAACAGAACAAAAACGTTTGTTTAATCGTAATTTTCAAAATTTGTTTGATCATTATAAACATTTTTATCGGGGAGGAAACCAACAACAAAACTCATCAAGTCATGGATTTGCAGGTTCTAGTTCTTCTAGTGGTCATCGTCAAAGTCGTAAAGAGTTGATGACTAATTTAATAAACGAGGTTTTAAATGAATCAAGTAAAAAAAGTCGACTTGATAACAATTTGGGTAAACTAAATATGTATGTGCATACTAATTTTATGGCCGCATGCCCTGCAAATGATGTCGAAGATTTTGAAAAAAATTGATATATTAGATTTTTGGAAACAAAAGCAACCTCAATTCCCGGTTTTTGCATGCATAGCATGTGATATACTAACAATCCAAGCTAGTAACTGTAGCTTCGGAGTCCGCCTTTTCTCTTAGTGGCAGGATCATTTCGATACATCGGACAAGGCTAAATCGGAAGTCCATAGAGTGTTGCATATGTTTCAAAGATTATATAGATAACGTTGATAGAATTCAACACACGACATCGTTAGAGGTGGATATTGAAGCGGTGAAAGAAAATTTGGAAGAAAATGAAATCGCCTTGGGACTAAGCATGCCGCCAACTACCGATACCGACGACACTTACTCACAATATGACGATGATGAGGAACTCGACATTGATGACTAAGAGGCTATTAGAAGAATTGAAGAGACCAGAACTTTTCAAATCAATTCGGCATGGGATACCAATGAAGATTGATGAATAAGTGTATTTTCAAATAATTTTATAATGTATTTTTGGAAGACAATGCAATTTTAATTATAATAAAATGCATTTTTAAAGTGTATTTGAGTGACCAATTTACAAATTTTTATAATGTATTTTAAAAATCTATCATTAAAAATATTAATTTTTTTAATGGTCGGGACCGGGACCGGCCGACCGTAACCAGTTATAACTAACCTTAATCGGGCTCAACATTTTTTACTGGGACCGGTTACGACTGACACTGTTGAGGCCTGGGACCGGTAAGGCCCGCCCCGGACCGGTTTTTAGCCATCCCTACTTCGAAATATATGATCAAAATAATATAGGGTTAAATGCATTAAATAGCAACCTACTTTCATAAAATTTGTTATTATAGCATTCTTTTTGTTTTTATTTATTACAACAACGTATTTTCAAATTATTTTTTATTAAGGCATTGTACTTTAGAAAATCTACCCATCATAGCAATGACTAACCTGTTACTTTTTAAACCAGTTAACCCCTTGACTTTTTTTGCTTGTGTGGCTTTAATGAGGTGACGTGGATGACAAATCATTTTGATGACTTAACTAAACTAAAAATAAAAACCTATTTCAAATTATTATTAGTGATTTTTATTTTTCATTGCTATGATCTAAAAAAATATTTTTTTTGACTTTTTCTTATTAAGTTGCATGCAAATTAAATTTTCTAAAGTAAAATATTTCTCAATAATAAAATTCTTGTCGAGATATATTTTGTTTGTAAAAAAAGTAACACTTCTTATTTTATATTGTTCAAATAAATACATATCTTTTAAAGTTTTCTTTATAATGTTAACGAAATAAATTGTGATCTACAATTTTTTAATATTGTTATATTAATAAATAATTCAAAAAAATCAAATTAATTTAACATATTTATACGGCAAGTAAACCTTTTTGAACAAATAATATATATTCTTTAAAATATAATATTTTTTGATAAAAAAGAAACAATTCTTATTTTCTTTTTTTTCATAAAACACATATTTTAAAAAAAAATATTAGCAAGATAAGTTGTGTTCTGCTAGTTTTATTGATATTGGTATGTTAATGAATAATTTAATTTTTTAAAATTCATTTAATATATTTATTAAATAACATGTAAAATATTTAAATATTAAAATTAAAAATACAATGTTTAATAAGAACTAGTAGATGCTATGATAAAATTATTTTGAAAGTACAATGACGTAGTAATAAAGTCACATCACTATAGTATATGTGGACAACCTACGTGGACAATGAGGTGGCATGGAAACCTGGTATAATGAGTAAATTTAAATCAAAAGGTTACCCAATGTTATAATGGATAAATTTTTTAAAGTACAATGTTTTAATAAAAATTAATTTGAAATTATATTGCTGTAATAAGAAAAAATGGAAGTACAATGCTATAATAAATAAATTTATGAAACTAGATTGTTATTTTATGCATTTTGCTCAAATAATATATGGGTTTGTTTTAAATGGATTAAGTTTGTTAGGTTGGGTATATATTTATTTGGGCTCTTACATAGAATGAGCCCAAATCAATGGTCCATCAAAATTGGCCCAATAACATTCATTTCCCCCAAAATCGTACAACTCACTCCGTCTTCTATCTACTTCATCTCCTTCAAAATTTCTAGCATTTTCGCCACTTCTTTCACTGAATTCTCACTTTCTCTCATCAATGGCGTCTATTAACTTCAATCCCTTTGGGGAGAACTGGTTTAAGAAGCCACCAAACCCTCTGCAACCTATAAACTTCCATTCTTTTGCAGAATCCATAAACCCATTCAAACACCAAACTCAATCCGATTCATTTTCTTCACCTTTTGCAGCCATCTCCATTTCCAACCCATTCAAGAAAATACCCGATCCTGATCCCGAACCTCAAAGACCCAAACCCGGTACCTACAAGAAAATGCTCGAACAGTTCTATTGGGAATCAGAAAATCGACCCGACTACCGTCACACACCAGAAGTTGAAAAAATTCTGAACGAAGACCCATTATTTGAAAAGAAAGAGAATCCGACCCAAGAAGAGATTGAAGAAAACGAGAGATGGATGAAGGAATTTCGTGAGAATCCGGTTGTCCAGTTCATGGCCCGAGCAGAGGAGATTGCTGATGAGCTTAATGAAATGGAGCTCAAAGCGAATTCGGCTCCGTATAGGTGGGAGGATAAGAAGTATTGGCAGTCGATTCCGCACGTGATCGGGCCGGACGGCCGGCCAATGCCGAGGAAAGCAATAAGGAGTGTGAAGGAATCGGACGATAAGTTTTGGGATTTTGCTAAGCAGTTCTTTTTCGGGTTGTGGGGATTCAGGCAACGGCCATATCCTCCCAGCCGGCCAATTGATGTTGCTCAGGCGGTTGGATACAAGAGGCTGGAGAAGAGATATTATGATTGTAAGTTTTCACTTATTTCCCGAATGATGAATTCCGTTTGTTGAATTTTGAAGTTTGAAACTGTTTTGAATCTGCTATAGAAATCTGATAATTACATGTTTGTGAGAAAATTCTTATCAGATTCAAGTGAAAGTATTAAGTTCTTTGCAAACTCCATATTAAATTTGAATGAAAGTAGTGAATTTGAGCTCAAAGACTTTATGCTTATGAATGCCTTGAGGTGGGCGTTCATGATTGTAAAGAAGGAGGGATCGAGTTAGCTGACGAACCAACGAACACTTAGGGGTTTGGTTGGTTTTCCATTAAGTATTGTATGGATAAAGCTGTGTGTGTGGATTAATCTGTTTGTATAGATGTTTGGGAGGGTTTTTTTCATAGATAGAAGGAGTGTGTTTTTATTGGGAGGGAATTGAATTTCTGCAAAAAGTTCAATGGATAAGCCACTATCTATATCATGAAGCCACTACCAAACGGTCATGTATAGGTGACTGAATAAGCTGTGAATCCTACTAAGCTCATTAAACTGCTAACAAACATGCCCTTATTCGTTTGTAAAGAAACCATATAAAAATCTAAAGAAAATAGAGATTTAAGGGAAAGAAGGACCTCGTTTTCAAGAACGAATGATATAGAACAAAAAATTGTACAAACAACAGTTCCTTTTGTTTTTGAATTTGCACAATTTGTTCAAAGATGTTATTTTTTTTGTAAACCATAGTGCTTTTCTTGGACTTCTGGTAAAAACTGTTAGTTCAAAACTCAATTGCTCAAAAAAGAAGACTATGGTTAAATGCCAAGTGAAATAGGGAGTGGAGTTGAGAGATGTCACTCTATTTGATGCGGGCTTTTCATAGAGACCCGTTGTGAACATAAATTTTGCAAGAATAAGGATGGCTGAAAAGCTAGTTGTTGGCTTATAACTATAAGCTAGTTGTTGGCTGAAAAGTTAGTTATTGGTTAATGAGCTAGTTGAGTTTGCTAAAAACTAGTTGATAAGTTGGATAACAATGTAAAATGACCTAAAAGGACATGTTGAAAAATCCATTGGGAAAATATAAGGGCATAATTGAAAAGGAAGTGAAAAAGCCGTTGGACAAAAAGCTAGCTTATGCTTAATCAAATAGGGCTTAAGCTCAAAATAAACTAGCATATGATTGCCAAACATCACCTTAAAAATGCATACTTTGTGTCGGTTGTGTTCAATGAGATGCTCCCCATTTTCTTCTTCCATAAATGTATACTAAGTTTTGAGGTATTGGCTTTGTTGTAGTTATCATGAGGTCGGGTGGATTTTTCTACAAAGATCGGATAGGTCGAACACGAGGACCTTGTGAACTTATACAACTTAAGACGGCTTGGGGTGCCGGAATCATCGATAAATATACTTTCATTTGGGGTGAAGACTTGGACGAGTGGGTCCCAATTGGAGCACTTTATGGTATGGAGCGCGCAATCGCCACTTGGGAAGGTTTGTCCATTTTTCATATTCAACAATGTAACACTACCTTGTGGCTTCTTTTCATATTTGTTTTTTTTTCTTCATAATTGTGCACTATGTTCACATTGACTAGACACATCAAACCTCTATACATTTAAGAGCATCTCCAAGAGCTATGCTAAAATGGAGATTTTGGAGATTTTGAGTATAGTTTTGCTCGAACAACTATGCTATAATGTATGCTAAAATAGAGAAAAAAAGGGAGGGTAGAAATCTCTAAAAATCATATTCAAGAGAGAAATAATATTGAAATCTTTTTTTTTTTTATTAACCTGAATATCCAACCAGCTATGCGATCCGACTAATCCCAAGGCAACCACCTGCTTTGCAGGTAGCCCGGAGTCACCGCATTTGAACCTCCGTGGCCACAAGGGGATTTTTGTTTCTTCTTGGATTTGAACCTGGGATCTCCAGGCATTTTAGACCTTTGGAGCCAAGCTCAAACCAGTCAGACACCACTCTTGTGGTTAAAATCTTTCTCACCAATAGGAGACGTTGAAATTAAGTATTTAGGAGACAAATAATTTTTTTTAATGTATTTAATATTTTAATAATATAGTTAATGATAAGATTGCTAAAATAGAGTAGTTGTTGAAGTTGGATGTAATTTTTTAGAGATTTTAACTTTTGATGCTCTATTTTAGAAAAATTATAGCATAGCTGTTGGAGATGCTCTAAGAACCTTTTATCTCTCTATAAGGGTTCTTTTTAGGGTGCGTTGGGCGGCATTAGACTCGGGTAGGAGTGAGTGGGAGCAAAATATTCAGAACAAAAATCAAGGGATGCGACAAGGTTGGTAAATTACTATGCTACCCATATAAAATTAAAACCCGGAAGCCCTGCACAATTCTTTCACCCGCCTACACCACTCTCACCCGTCCAGTCCTGTGTGCATACCAAATGCACCCTTAGAGAGATTCAAAGGGGTTTCAAGTATCTTCACATGATACGAGAGCCCGCGGGGAGGGGGGTACAACATCTAGGGACTTGGCACACACTTTCGCCTCCGTTTTTGGGGGCATCGTTTAGCTTTCGCTTGAGGGTGCGGCTTGGAGTGTCATATCGGCTAGACATGGACCATCAAACCTATATATACACAGGAATCTCTCTAAGGCTCTTTTAGAGAGAAATCAGGGATTTCACATATCCTAACACACTAAAATGACATATGAAAGTGGATTTTTTGAGCATTGAAAAGCTAATCGTGGAGAGAATAGAAGAAATCAATCATAAACATATGAATTCGTTTATAATGATAATTTTCGAGAGTGGTAAGCATCATTTGTGAAACAGAAAGGATGATTACGGCAATCAATCCATTTGTAGGTGGTAATGAAAGCCTGGATTATATTCAAGTGGAATCTTCTTCTTTGTTTTTGAATTTCAGTGAGACTAGGTGCTGCGGCTACTGCTTTCATACACAAGCTACAAAAGGGTATACCTCCATGGGTCCCACTAAAAGGGTTCGAGAATAAAAGCCGGAAACAACTTCAGGATGAAGCATATGAAAGCAAGAGAAGGGATATGGCTGTATTAGAAGCTAATGATGGAGTTTGGCCTGGTGTAAGAATTCCTAGCCATGCTCTGTTCCTTTGGGCCAGTGGCTCTGAACTCACATCAATCTTAGAAGAAGACCACATGCCAAACAAATATATTCCAAAAGATATGAGGTACATGCTTTTTGCACTTTTTTTGCATGTATTATATCTATACACACACACACACACACATATATATATATATATATATATATATGTTCAAACGAGAAGCTAACAATTTGCAAGGAGGGAAGTTTCAATATCATATATGATTACACGTATTATAAACAAGCTTAATCATATATGATTAAACATATGTTTGCATTTACAACACATATTAGCTTAATCATATATGATTAAACACACCCAAAGGAGTGTAATGTTATATGATATTGAAACTTCTTGCCTTCTCGCAAAATGTTTAACTTCTCGCATGATCCTTCCTCTCTCTCCCTATATATATATGTCTTCGCTTATTTGCCATCATATATTTTCTGGTTGGGGCTGTTTGGTTGGTTTTCCATTAAGTCCTGTATGGATAAAGTTGTCTGTGTAGATTGGGAAGTTTTTGTTTGGGAGGGTTTTCTCATAGATGGAAGGATCATGTTTTTTTATTGGGAGGGACAGATTTGGAAAAAACTTGGCTTTGTGCATAAAGCTCCTTCTAGAAGCTTACTGAATAAGCCACTTTTTATATCATCAAGCCACTACCAAACAATCATGTATAACTGACTGAAGAAGTTACGAGTCTCATTAAGCTCATTAAGCTGCTAACAAGTAGACCCTTACTCATATCTAGTTTCTCAAAATTTAGCATCGTTGTCTTTCTTTCTTTCTATTTATATTCCTATTCATATCTAGCTTTTCAGATCTTAGAGGTTGTTTACTGAACACTTTTTGTCTCTTACCGGTTAACTGAATACTTATTGCCTATTAATGGGTAAGAAACGCTTACTCGGTAAGAGATGATGGCCATTACCAACAATCTTATGGCACCATTTTGCTAACCAAGAATCTTGCCCGGAAACCAAAGGACCATTGGCCCAGCGGTACCCCGGTAACCTTATTTTCCTAGAGGTCAGTTCCAGTCTCACCAAAGGTGCGATGTGGCTTTGAGTTTAATAATAATTATTATTATCATGGTGTACAGGAAACAGTTGATTAAAGCTATTCCGGGGTTGAGGCCGTGGGAGGTTTTAAGTGTTGAACAAGCCATGGATCAGATAACATATGGCGGTAATTGGTACCGTGAACGTCTTGGTACATTTACGACCGGGCCGCCGTACATTGAGGAGTATTCTCAAGATGTTGAGGTATCTATACGTCTTCCCTTCAAATCTTTTGAGTTTCTATAAAAATGTTACTCTCTTCGTAAAAAAAGTGATCACCTTACAACTTTGAGGGTGTGTTTGGTATACCTGTAAATTCATAATTACACTGGCCAGATGTATTAAAACTCTAGAATCTTCTACAATTCTTTTACCCCCTCTTGTCTGTCAAGTCTCGTCCTGTCTGCCTACCAAACATACCCACAAGATTTTAACAATTTTTTATAGACAAAATGCAAATTAACGAAATAACTCTTCATCAAATCTTAGATAAGAGAAGGGTAATCGAGGAACATCAAGTTTCTATTGATATTCAGGGTTGCGGTTGTATCATGTATTCATTCTTGTTTCGCTATTGTAGGACTTCATGGAGGAATACATGAACTTCACGGAGGTGATGGCCTACCAAATAAAACGTATGCTTCCCGGGTTCGGTAAGTTATTGGCTAAAGTACGTAGAGAAGCCGCGGAGAGAGCCAAAAAAAAGGCAGAAAGAGGAAAACAGAAGATAGAAGCAGCCAAGCGGGCAAAACGCCCACAAAGACCCGATGACGACGACGATGATTTCTGAGCACATCTGTTTTTCTTTAAAAATCGATTCTGTTAGCTGTATGTCATCACTATTACACATGAAATTTGTAGCGATGTTTGTAAATCGAATTTGTGTTCAATTTCTGGTGGATATTGCATCTACATAACCAAAGTTTTGCTACAAGATGTAGAATTAATCTTTGTACATCTAATAGGGGCTTTAAGAAGGTTAATCCCTGTGGCCACGGAGGTTCAAATGCGGTGATTCCGGGCTATTTATAAAGCAGATGGTCGTCTTGGGATTAGTCGGCTCGCATAGCGGGTTGGATATCCAGGTTAATAAAAAAAAGAACTTCAAAAAAACCGTTTGAGGATTGTTTTTGTGAAAGGAAGGGCAAATAATCTGTTTGGTTGGTTTTTCAAACCAGTCCCCTGTATTGATTAAGCTATCAGTGTAGACTAATTTGTCTGTATAGATTGGAAGGGTGTTTTTACATATGAAAGGAATGTGTTTTCTAATTGGAAGTGCATGTTTGGAAAGAGGCTTTACTTTATGCATAATGCTCCTACCTAGAAGTTTGTTGAATATGCTATTTTCTATCTCATCAAGTCACTGTTGAACAATGATGTATAACAATATAGTTGACTGAATAAGTTGCGAGTCCTATTAAACTCATTAAACCGTTAACAAACAGACTGGTTTAGAGGACTGGTTCGGTCCAGGGCAGAGGACAGATCATGGAAGGATCGTTTAAGGTTCGACTGATGGAAACTAGTTGGTTCGGACTAGTTATACAATTTTGTTAGAGGACCGCTAAGGGACCAGTTGGATTCTTTTTTCTTCTTTAATTTTGTAGTGTACGTTTGGTCAGTGAGTTACCCTTTTTTTTCTATGGGAAAAGTACAGAAAAATTTGAGCAATTTTTTTTATTTTGAATGATTAAGTTTTTGATTTTTTAAATGAAAAAAATCTTTAAACTTTCTCACTCTAAATGATTAAGTCTGTAAACGTTGTTTTTAATAAATAAACCATCAAGAATTTTAAACATTGGTTATCTATAGTTTTTTCAACAAAAAAACTACATATAACTGGATAGAAAGATTTTAAAGTAAAAATAAATCAGTTTTATCATGCGTTTCAAACCTTTTGCATCGAACGACATCGCTCTCCTTCGTCACACCATTCTTGTTCGTTATGCATATCATCTATCGCTTCCATGCCATCGATCTACCTCTTTTTAATCTATTATTTTTTGTCTTTCGATTTTTCTTCTTTTGCAACAATGTAATGGAGCATGTACAAACAGATCAAAAAATAGGGAGATTGATGGCAGAGACCAATGGTGGTGATGGGATCTGATAGAGAGTGGACGATGATAGGAGCAATTATATATTAGATTTAATAATTTAAATCTTTATGTTTATATGAATATATTATGTAGATGCGTGTAGTTATGTTAGCCGACCTTTGAGGGGCGGCCTATGTTTATCTGAATATTTTATGTAGAAGTGT